AACTTTAAGTTTTGCTAAGCTAACCTTAATATGCTTCAGTGAATAAATCCTGGGAGAGATGTATTGCTGAAATTGGACACAAGAAGTGCAGAATTTAGGTACCACAAGGACATTTTGCAGAAACCAGAAGATAAAGAAGAGGCCGAAAAAGACCATTCAGTATGTGATTCCTTATCTGGTAAAAAGACTGAAAAATGTGAACTAATTACCATGAGTAGTGAGAAATCAATAACCAATAGAGGGTAGAATACTAATTATTAAAGAGAATTTTGTAATTTAGAACCAATGAACCAATTTGTTTGCTAAAAATATCTAAATACCTGGAAAGGTTGTGTGTGTGAGCGTGTGGGAGCTGGACTTTATTTACTACACACACACAAACACACCCTGGCAAGCATAATGTAAAGCAAGACTCACTAACATTTAAAAGACAGTGCTGGAGGATTTCACCTATTTAGGTGACAGACCCAAAAAAACCATCTGTGGTGTATAAATATAATACGTAAATAAATTATACGGACCCAGTGAGCTGGTTGGGGGTTCTGAGCCAAATCCTCTTTATTCAAATGAGAAAACACCTTATATATGCACCTCAAAGCCACTTGTGACTCCCCTGACCAATCACCAGGGGTACCTCATTACCCATGTGCATGGGAGTACATTTGGACTTCATTTCCCAGGATGCCTCATCCAGCATCCTTCCTGAAATCCAATCCCTACACCCACCAGCTGTTCTAGACGTCTTTTGATGTTGACTGCTAGCTTGGTCTCAAGACTAGACAAACAGGAAAAACTCAGCTCTTTCTCTCTTCATTTTATTTTTTAACTGAGAAAGGAAATCAAAGGTGATTTTTCCAGTCCCTTGCTGGTAATGCTCAGGAATATATTTTTACACAGGAGAAAAAAACTAACTTGAAAGACACGGAAGGGGGAAGAATGCTTTCAAATTTTGCAAGGCTTCTGGGTTTCTGTTTTCCTCACCCTGCCTTCCTGAGGCCTGCCCACCACCTGATCTCTTTGGTCTCTGCCTCCTAACTCCCCTGTTAAATGGCACTTGCCCATTGGGGCCCACTGGTTTCCTCCGACCACCACCGTCAAAGTTGTCCCACATTGGGTTTTAGCTTTCTTTTCCTTTTCTCTGTATATCCACTCTAGTCAGTTCTCTGTGCCTCACAGATGTGCCCAGGGAAGCTCCTGCAGGTGAGTCACAGACCCCAAAGGGCTTCTTTGCGATGCCAGAGCTCTGCAGCAGCAGAGTGACGTAGGTTTGTTACCTGACTTTCCTCACTGAGGTGTCCTTCTTCCTTCGTCGAGCCCTATAAGTCACTGATCAATGTTAGCCGTGCAGTAAATGGGGAAAATGACAGGCTTTCAAATTTAGGGAGCTCTCCTGGGTAACTGAAGCAAGATTTCCTCAACAGAGTTCTCATCTAGAGCTGGGGCTTTCAGCGATTGCATCAGTGTTCCAATGCCACTCTCAGCCATACGTCCAGGAATTCATCCACCTCTCAGCCTGTTCTCCAAGCGCCTGCTTTCTCTCTATTTACAGCAGAGAACTTACAAGAGCTTGACAAAGACACCTCCTTAGCAGCTGTGCTACCCCTCAGTGTTAGGACTGTGAGAGCTGAAAGGCAGATCCTTTACCCTGCAGTGTTCCCTGGCATGCTGAAAGGGAATTGTGTCAGGAGGGGGGTTCCCTTTCAATCAGACAGCAGTGATCATTTCAGCAAAATGTGTTTGAGTTGCTAAGCGTGAAAAGTCCAGTGTAAAGCTCCTGAAACACGCTCTGTTGCCCACCAATAGACAAGAGTCTTGGCATGTCTGTGCACCACAAGGGGGTTTGGTACTGCTTTGGGACAGAGGAGAACTCTGCAGGCTCGTCTTCTGCATTTGCTGTACAGAAGGTTGGGTTGCTCTGCGCAAATTCACAAACCCACCTGCAGCGGCTGCCATTGTGATGCCATGGGATGTTGCCACGCCACAATGCTGTCAAGGGAAGGTTACCCTGGTGCCCGGGAGGCCTCAGTGTCCAGAGCAGCTCTTTGGCGGGCTCAGTGCAGGAGGATCCTCCTGATTGAGGCGTCTCAGCCAACAGTTTGCACCCTGACGGGAGCGTTCTTTTGTTCTACTCTTGGTGTTGTACGGTCGGCGGACTTGTGCAGCACTGCTCCAACAATGGAGCTACTCTGTGGAGCAGTTTGCACTGCTTTTTCTTTGGCCTATTCCGGCTACTTTTTGACTCACCTGACAAGTAAGTAGAGGGTGCAGCATCTTGAAACAAATGATGCTTGCATCCGAGGTGCAGCATCTTGAAACAAAACTGCCACAAAGATGGCATTAGTTAGGTAAAGCTCCTCTCAGCAATTTCAGCTAAGAAGGGGGTGTTTCTGGCCAGTGGGGTGTGGGCAGCATTTGGAATGTAACCTGCAGGGCTTCCCTTCCCTCCACAGGGTGGTCTGTACCAGTGGAATCTGTCATTTCCTCAGTTTGCTGGCTCAACTTGCACAATGCAGACAGGGAGACCTTGCCAGGAGTCCTTCTAAAAACTGTGCAGTTCTCTCCAGAATTGAGGGAGAGCATCTTTTTTCTTCATTCCCTCAATAAAAGATTTGACGATGTGACTTGACACTAACTGTGTGTGCTGACATAGCAATTGCCTTTTTGATGAAGTGCAAACTCCAAAACAGTTTCTGTATGCTTGTAAACCCAGCAGCTTCTCCCCTTCTATGACAGAATAGAAGTGCCACAGCTAAGGGAGATTCTGGGGTGCTTTTCTGGGGAAATGTCTTCAGCAAGCTAAAGGGAATTAGTGCCTGCAATTTATTAAAAAAAAAAAAAAAGTACAGGAACATGTTCCCAGTTTGGGTTGACTTGTTCTGTAGGATTCACCAGCACAGACAGTTTTCTAACAGTATGTGGTTGCTTTTCCCTTTCCTCTTGCAGGACACATCACACGTGGATGGAGAGAAGCCCATCCTTCAGGGAGTGGGAAAGGCCCTTTTGACCTTCCTAGTGCTTGAGAATTGTGGAGCAAGCTGTGAGCTTGGCCTCTTGCAGTAGAGTGCCAGCCTGGTGGGCTGAAAGACAGTCCATTTCTGTGCCTGCATCAGCAGTAGCAAAGGGATCGCTGCCTGTTTCCTAATGTTCCATCGAAGAGCTTTTTAACAGAGAAAAGTCAAGGTTTGCAACAGAAGGTTGCTTGCTGATTGCAGACAGGGTGCAATATCGAATTTACAAGAATACGCATTACTGTCACATGGGTCTAATTAGCCCAGTTGCATGTAGTTTGAAGAACTTAGAATCCTCCTTCCATCCAAGTTCATGATTTCTCCATGGTCCAGCAGGAAATAGAAGCTCAGTAGAAATCAGGTCCAAAAAGACAGGTTACTCCCTGTCCCTCACGCTGCTGTCTGTCCACAGAGCACAACACCAGCATCAGAACCTCCTCTGACTCTCTCTCTTCCTGAAGATGAGGCTAAAGAGGAGGGCCATGCCAATGCATTTCCACGTGTTGCCACTCCACGGCCTGAACATCCCAAAGCAGTAAGTGGCAGCTTTGCTTGGCACTGTCTCTGCTGCAGTGCAGAGCTGCAAGTTTCTGCTCACGCACCTGTTGGGGATGAAGATGAAAGAAGCAGAGAGGAGTGGGAGAGATACC